GCTGCTCAGTCTGAGGAAACTAAGTCCTCTTCAATCCAGGCGGAAGGTTTCAAAGAAGTCCGGCAGCGCATGCGACACCGTAACAATGAAGCCGCCAAGACCTCGAAGAAGAGAGTGGCAGCCGCTGAAATCACGCCCCCTAAAGGGGTAGCCACCCGCAAATTCTTCGCCCCCCTGAAAACATCAATGGAGACTGACAGCACTAGTGGAGAGGCCGCCACACCCGAGGAGGCAGTCTCTGGCAAAGCAGGTAGGCCGCCTCCAATAATATTGCCGTCAACCACGAATCTCATAGAGTTTCAAAAGAAACTGAAAAACATGGTCAAGGACGACTTCGAGTTCCGTAGCACAAGAAACGGAGCCAGAGTCGTTACGAAAGTCATGGCGGATTTCAGAGCAATCAAGTCACATTTCACCAAGAATAACCTAGCCTATTATTCCTTCTTCCCAAAATCCCAGAAGCCTGTTAAGGCAGTAATCCGACACATCCCCCATCAATTCCCCTGCTCAGGATATTTCAGAAAGTCTGGAAAACCTGGGTTTCGATGTCGTTAGCGTCAAGCAAATGACGACAACCCGTTGACCCCAACCTGAAGAAGCAGTAACCAGGAACGTTCCCTTGTTCCTGATAACCTAGCCGCGGACGGCAAAATCACAGGAAATTTTCAATCTCATAAGCCTTTGCCACATATCAATCAAGGTGAAGACGTATAGAGCTCAGACTTGACTTACGCAATGTCATAACTGTCAACAGTGTGGCCACGTCTGGGCTAACTGTAAACAACCTCCACGCTGTTTGTTGTGCGGAGGCGGCCACCTGCATAAGGAATGCCCAGAGAATGAAAATGCTGCTTCCACCCCAACATGCTGCAACTGCCGATTGGCAGAGGGAAACAAGCCACGTCCCGCCAACTATCGGGATTGCAGACACGCCAGGGAAGAGCTGCAAAAATGAAAGGCGAAGAGAACACCGAAAACTGCTACGGAGAGGGTGTTCTCGTCGAACCTCGTCACCCCAGGTCTATCCTTCGTGGCGGCACTGCGAGACACCGCAGAACAACAGTGACCACAGACAAACCCCGCTCCAATTGTTTGCCCTACAGAAACAAAACAACAAAATATACCGGCCCCTGCACTGCAGGAAGAAAAGGTCAGTCACATCAGGCTCCTCATGTAAACAGTCAAACTCTCGACAGTATGTTGAGAGTTGTGACTGAAGTACAGCAGATCATGGCAGAGTTCATTGGTGCAGTGTCTGAAGGTGACAAAATAATGGCCATTACAAACATTGTATTAAATCTCATGAAACAAAATGGCCACTAGAATTCATAGGCCACTCAAACATAGCATTTAATGCGAACGGCATTTGGAGGTAGCGCTATGAGCTCAGTAAACAGCTGCAAGACCTAGCGTAGATGTGACCCTGTTTTCAGAGACGCATCTGAAATCTCATGAGAGATTCTTTCTTCCAAATTACCACATTTATAGCATCGACGGCCACCCGGGCAGGAAGGCGGAACTGCCGCTGCAGATAGAAAAGGCATTCCCCATAGCCATGTAGACCTACCACCCCTTATTTCAGTAGAAGCGACAGGGGTCTGCATACCAATTGGTAATAGTGAAGTGCTGCTTGCAGCTGTTTATAAATCTCCAGGCAGAGCCTAGAGTAATGCTGACATCACAGAGTTCTTAAGCTTTAGATGTAAGTCTATTTTGGTAGGTGATTTGAATGCTAAGTACCCATTGTGATATAGCAGAGTTTGAAACCCCTCAGGCTTGAAACTCGTGGATTTATTTGATATTAGTGATTTCGAAATCTCAGCACCACAGTGCCCCACTCACTATTCCCCTGCGGGAAATGGTGACGTGTTGGATATTGTGGTCCACAAAAACATCAAAATATCAGATGTCATCGGCTCCGATCTTTTGGATTCAGATCACCTACCAATAGTATTCCACATACTGGATCATGTTAAAATTAGGAACCTTTCGGAACCTATTGAAAAATTAACAGATTGGGAGCGGTTCCAGAGCATCGCCTCTGAGTTAATATCACCTAAAATAGAAATTAAGTCTGGGGTAGAAGCCGATAAAGCGGCGCGCGACTTTGCAGCCTCTATTGCTTCGGCATATAGGTTGTCCACAAGAAAAGTTACACTTTTGGACATAAACAACTTTCTTCCTGGTCTTGATCGCCTGTTAAAACATAAGCAGAGGCTACGAAAATTGTGGTAAGAAAATAGGGATCCAGCGTGTAAGACGGCACTAAATTGGGTCACAAAATCAATCAGGCTAATGACTCGAAAAAAAGGCACTTGAACGGTGGGAAACAAAAATAGCTAACGCTGAAGTCACACCTCAGGGTATATGGTCATTAGCGAAATCCCTCCTAAAGAGAGATGGGCCAATGGAACCAACTGCTATTCATGGTGCTGCAGGCCTTAAATTTCACCCATTCGAAAAAGCCAACGCAATTACTGGTTGTTTGGAAATTCAGTTCACGCCACACTATCTGTGCGACGATAACCATGAACGGCGGATGGAGGCTAGAGTTCAAGCTCTGCTCGAAACCGTAAACGACAAAACCATCTGAAAGGATCAGATCATGTGACGTACAAAAATTGATAAATTCCTTGAAATTGAGAGAGGCCTGTGGAATTGACTGCATCACAAATGAATGCCTGAGGCAAATTCCAAGGCGACCATTGGTCCACCAAACTCATTCATTTAATCATTGTCTTCGGCTCTCTCATTTTCCAAATACTTGAAAGGAAGCAAAAGTAATAATTTTACCTAAACCCAGTAAAGACCCGAAATTCCCGCAAATTTTACGTCCGATCATCCTACTGTCCACGACAGGAAAACTATTCGAAAAAGTAATCTTGAAATTACTAGAAAAATATATTGAAGAAACAGGACTGTTCAACGCAAGCCAGTTTGGTTTTCGTGCACGTCACTGCACGACATTGCAATGTATGAGGCTGGAGGACCACGTGACCCTTAATTTCAACAATAAAATGTCTACGGCCGCGGTGTTCTTGGACATCGGAAAAGCCTTCGATACCACGTGGCACTCAGGCTTGCTGTATAAGTTATCAAAATTGGAATTCCCTAACTCTTTGACCAAGCTTATTGGGTCCTTTCTTTCTAAACGTAAATTCAGGGTCTCGGTTGAAGGCGAAATGTCAACGCCAAGGGAAATGCAAGCAGGGGTGCCACAAGGATCAGTTCTTTCTCCTACCCTTTCAACTTGTACATAAATGATGTTCCCCAAACTCATGGTGTTCACCTGGCCCTCTTTGCGGACGACAGCTGTCTGTATGCGACAGATCGGAAGGAGCGTTTCATTGTTAGAAAAATCCAGCGCGGTCTCAGCTCAATGGAGACCTGGTGTGAGCGCTAGAATATAAAAATTAATGAAGATAAGACTCAGGGGATCTTCTTCTCACGTAGTCGTCGAACGCCTGAGTTGTCTCACCCTAAATGGACGAAAATATCTAGGTGTAAACTTCGATAAGAGAGTTACATGGAGATTACACATAGAAATGACAGAAAGCCAAAGCCTCCATAACATTCATTAGAGTGTATTCCCTATTCAAAAGAAGCGATTGAGCGCTAATATTAAAATGATCCTCCACAAAGCTCTTATTACATCCGTAATGACTTATGCTAGTCCCGCCTGGGAGTTTGCGGCAGACATTCATCTAGTTAAATTGCAGCGCCTGCTAAACAAGTTTCTCCGCAACATTGGCTATTTTCCAAGGCGCACACCAGTCCGCGATTTGCACATGGCATTTAAAATCCCGCACTTTTATGAATATATAACAAAATTATGCAGGAAACAAGAAGAAGTCATAGAAAATTATGAAAATGAGTATGTTCGCAAAATCGGACAAGGCGAATCCCGACACAGAGAGTATAATAGGTTTAAACTTGGCGGCGGTCAGGCATACGACCATTCAAGTGACTAGACTGCCGTTGTAGCGAATACTGTTACTAGGTAGAAATAGGACATAATCTCCTGTACTGAGCCTGGATTGACAGAGGCGTTGTATATATTGTACATAGAAATAAGAATTAAGATTAAATTTTTAAATATATGTAAATACTTACAATGCACCTACTAATACGGACTATGACCAACAAATGGCAGACCCGACCTCTTATCAGAGAGGGCGCCCGAATGAACAGGGCGGTAACTTTCATCTAAGAAAAAAAATCTCATCATGAGCCACAGCCAGGGCTTGACACCAAGACAGACCGACCAACAGACTCTCAGTCGCAATGAGATTTGGACTGGGACTTGGGTATTGTTAAGATATTCTGGTGGACTAGAGATAAGGCACCGGCCTTGTGTTAGGATCTGTTACCAGGATACGAATAGTAAAGGCATAGAAGCCTTTATGTGTGCTGCAGTTACAGTGATCTTTAAAATGTGTAAACTAGTAAGCCTCTTATATTTATTTGTAGTTATGAGTTGTATGCAGTTCAAGAATCCAATTACCAATCCAAACACTGTCCATATTCATACTCCATCAAGTAATAATACTGTCTTATGTGTTTTAAGAAAAACAGTTCTACAGAATCGAGCCCTGGACTTTATCATGCACTCACTGTTACTAATTTTCTTCCAGTTTAATCCAGCTTACAATTTCATACACTTTTTGTCTTCAGATCCAGTCAATATTACGTCCCTCCTACTTCCACTGTCTAAACACTAGAATTTTCTCTTCAACCTGTATGTAATGATTTTTACCATAACAAAAATTCATCTTTATTTTATCACTGAAACATGTAGGGTGTATACTGTAAGTTTCTAATGACATAATTGTTTGTTGCAAAACTGTACATATGTGATATAGTTGTTACCTTGTCTCAGTTTAAAGTAACAAGGAATACTGTGATTTGAGAAATTAACAACCTCACAAACTGTTAGTTTGAAGCCTGTACCATATGTTGCAGATAAACAGAATCTTGGTTTGTGTCTGAAATATTGACAGGACAATGTCGTCACGCTCAAAGGAGAAGATGGCAGCTGCATTCCGCAAACTTTTCCTATCATCCCAGAAGATTGGGGACCCAGAAGGAGCTGTTGGAGGACAAGGATGTTCCAGCAACACTGGATCCCCAGCCAGAAGACTACTAGTTCGTCATGGTTACCACAGAGATGCTGTCACACCAGCAGAGAGGAGCCCAGGACTAGATGGGCCTTCTTCAGGTTCTGGAAGTTGTAAATATGTTACAGATCTCTTCAGATCTAAGAAGACAGGATCAGGAAGCTCAGATAAACAGTCTTTGCTAAGTGGAAGCAATGGGGGGTTAGAGAGGACAGTCCGTTCTCGTAGGCTAATGAAGGAGCTTCGAGAGATACAGAGGATACAGCAACAGTATCACCATGACCCTGTTTTCACAGTGGAGCTAGTCAATGATAATTTATTTGAATGGCATGTACGTCTCTATAGAATTGACTCGGAGAGTAAACTTGCAAGTGATATGAAAGATATGGGCATCCCATATATACTCTTGCACCTCATGTTCCCAGACAATTTTCCTTTTGCTCCTCCCTTTATGCGTGTGATATCTCCCCGCATTGAGAAGGGCTTTGTCATGGAGGGTGGAGCAATCTGCATGGAACTTCTGACACCTAGAGGATGGGCCAGTGCGTACACAGTTGAAGCAATCATCATGCAGTTTGCTGCCAGCATTGTGAAAGGGCAGGTATGTATATTACATACATGTTTCCAATTTTATCCTGTAGATTAAAAAGTTGTGTTTCATTATGTAGGGTAAAATTGTTCACCATCTACCACAGGTGTTCCACTTTTGGTATTTGATAGTAACTCGAACTTGGGACTAATGTTTATTTATGTTTTCTGTAGAGTTCCATTGCAGTGTATAATTTTTATAAATTAAATTTTATAAATATCTTATACAAATATGATGGGAAATTTTATTCATTATCCACTATTAATTGCAATTCGTATTGTTGTTAGATGAATGTCCGGCCCTAAACATATCTGCATTTGATAGCCCCAGTCACATATAAGTAATATTTTTTTACAGGGACGCATAGCTAAAAAGCATAAAGGAAGCAAGGATTTCAATCGGCGTTCAGCAGAAGAATCTTTCCGTAGCCTGGTAAAAACTCACGAGAAATATGGTTGGGTCACACCACCTCTTGCAGATGGCTAACCATATCTCAGGTACATATACAGTTGTGGTAACCTTTTATTATAGTTTGCTTTATGCAATACCTCACTGCCTTGATGTTCCAAAACACCACTTCTCTGAGTCTTGTACATCATTTGGTTACAGTCTTGTACTACTCATGGCTAATAGATTTTATTCTTTCCACTGTTTCCTTGGTAATACTTTCCTCCTCTTTACTGACGTGATCGCCATCGATCACCTTCTGTTATAATTTTTTCTATACCCATTCATCTTCTCATTTCATTCTTTAATACTGTGTTCATTCTTGATAATTTTGTTCTTCTTCTGAAATAACTCATTTTCTTTGCAAATAATTTATTTTTCCTCTCCATGCTTCACATCACTAATATGCACTGTCTCCATGGATCTTCCATTGTGTCTGCTTGTTTGGTTATTATTATGTGATTCCAATCATACTGAATTTAAGTATCATATAATATTCTTGCACTGATTGATTCTAGTTTCTTCTATTTCTTCCTTTGGTTAGGCATACTTGGTGATAAACTTAATACCAACATAATTGTCACCCTTCCCAGTGTTATAAGTAGTTACTCTGATACTGGTATTATGGAAAGAAAATCTACTGATCAGTATAACTGTACTATATTGTGGGATTGTCGATGTTCTAAATGACAACCACATAGAACTGTAACAATTGTATATATTAAATCGTATAAATTGAATTTACAGATTAGCTGCGAAGCTATATGGAATGTTCAAAAGTTTGCTGGCCCTCAGGTGCAGTTTGTTCCACCATGAGTGTGCTGGCAGAATTCACTCCTCCGTAGTAGGCCAACTCTTACGGCCATTCAGCTGGCCTGTCTAGCCGTTGATGTAATGCTGCGCGCGCCGCTAGAAAACTGCTGCCTACGGCCGGATGCTGGAATTGCGGAAGCTGTGTTAGTTGCCTGGTCGCAGGGCGTGGCCGCTGGAGAGCTGCGGCAGTTACGATGGCAGAGCGAGGTTGATGGAGAGGTGCGGCTGCTACATTAGCTGTCTGGTAGCAGTGAAGAGCTGATATCTCTGATGATCCATTGCTCTGAACTGAATGTGATCACTGACTATTGCGAGCTTTCGGCTCCGCCTTTTATACCATGCTTGATGGACCAAAAGAAACTTGCAGTTGCGATTGTGAGCGCTGATTGGCTAGCGATAATGCGAAGGTGGGCTGGAGAGTGAGTGCTGTGTAAGTAAGAGTGCTGGCCGCAATGTGCCGTTGACTTGGTGGGAGCAGAAGTTGAATGCTGTCTATTAGACAGACATAGCTGCGTGTTAGTGTGTGGGGGTTCCCACATCACTCCACCCCTGGCGAAAATTGATGCTCATGTGTTCAGGCGAGCGGGGAAATGAATGTGGCGCCCGGAGCTTGTAGTCCTTGCAGGATCTGTGTTGGCATGGCAGGTGGTCCTACGGTCGGGCTCGCTGTTGCTGGTGGGTTGATGGTGTTCCTGTGGTCGGTCTCTTGTAGGATGTAGGCCGCCTTTACTCTGTCGGCTGATACGATGACGTGCCTCCCGCGCACGAGTAGTTGCAGTGTTTCCTCTCTGCAACAGGACTTCGTAGGGGTCGGTGTAGTGGGCTCCAGTGCCCAGCGTCTTGAGTCCTGCTGAAGGAAGACGTGGGTACACTTCTCGAGGTCACTGTGCACGAAAATAGCTGGGGAGGCGTGGCATGCTGCTGGGACTGGTCAGAGACAGGCCATGTGCGGGTGGAGTTCTGTGATGAGGTGGGCTGGATCCGCGGGGTCGGTAGCTGGAGTTAGTAGCTCCCCGGGAATTCTTAAGGGCTCGCCGTACACGAGTTCAGCTACCGATACTTGCAGGTCCTCCTTTAATGCAGTTCGAATTTCGAGGAGAGCCAGGAGAAGCGCCTCAGTCCATTGTTGGTCCGTGTGGCACATGGTAGCTACCTTCAGTGTCCGGTGGAAGAGTTCCGCGGGTCCGTTAGCTGTTGGATGGTAGGCGGTTGTACGTGAGAGCAGGATGCCACACAGCCTGGCCAGGGATTGGAACAGTTGAAATTCGAGCTAGCGTCCCTTGTCGGTGGTGATGGTCTGCGGGCAACCGAAGCGTAGTATCCAACCCCTCAGTAGGGCGCGTGCCACTGTGTCGGCTGTGATGTCCGGAATGGGGACGACTTCTGGCCAGCGGGTGAAACGGTCGACTGCAGTGAGGCAGTATGTGTAGCCCGCTGACGTCGGAAGGGGTCTCACGAGGTCAATATGGATGTGCTGAAAACGGGCTGCTGTCGGTGTAAAGTCGCCCAGTGGAGTGACTGTGTGGCGGGAGACTTTGGAGCGCTGGCAGGACTGGCAAGCACGTGGCCAGGTGCGGCAATTCTTCTGCACGCCTAGCCACACGAATCGCTGTGCGACCAGATTTGCTGTTGCTCTGGAGCCTGTGTATGACATATTGTAGATGGACTGGAACACTTGGAGTCGTAGAGGCCCCGGAACATACGGCCGAGACCTCCCCGTAGACGTGTCGCACTAGACGGAGAATGCGGTGCCGGGGACTGGTAGTTTCTCTAGCCGCAGGGCGGTGGTTGACCACAGGAGTGCTCTGAGGTCGTCGTCTCTGTCCTGTGATGCGGAGAATACGTCGTAAGGTCATGGTTAAATGACGGCGTCGACGCGAGAGAGGGCGTCGACGACAACGTTGACCTGTGCAGAGATGTGTCGGATGTCGGTTGTGAGCCGGGAGACGAAGTCTAGATGGTTGAACTGCCGGCGTGAGCATCTAACCCGTTTCTGCTGGAAGACGTAAGTGATTCGCCTGTGGTCGGTGAAGTTGATGAAGTGAATTGCTTCCAACATATGGCGGAAATGCCTTACTGCCTCGTAGATAACCATTAGGTCACGGTCGTAGGCGCTGGACTTCTGTTGGGCCGGGTTGAGCTTTTTTGAGAAGAAGGCGAGGGGCTGCCAGGTGTTCCTTACGCGTTGTTGTAGCACGGTACCCATGGTGGACGTAGACTCATCTGTAACGAGTGCAAGTGGCGCGGATGGATCCGGGTGGGACAGTAGAGTGGCGCGTGACAAACTCGTCTTGCACTCTTCGAATGCCTTGTGGAGCTCCGGTGTCCAAGTAACGGGATGGGAGCCTTTGACTTTGCGACGTCGTGCAGTGGTGCCTGCGTGGTCGCTGCGCGGGACAGAAATTGATTGTAGAAGTTCTGCATGCCTAGGAATCGTCGAAGCTGAATGGCTGTCTTCGGAGGGGGCAGTCCTGAAGATGGGCCACTCGATCTTCCAGAGGTTCGGAACCCTCGGCAGTGACCTCGGGTGCTCTGAGGACGCACTTTGACCGGTTGATAATGATCCCGTGCCTCTGGAGTTGGTTGAAGAGAGCACGTAGGTGTTGTTCATGCTCTTCGAGTGACCGGGAAAAGAGTAGGATGTCGTCTAAGTACGCGAAGCAGAATTCGAATCCCCGTAGAATGTCGTCCATGAAGAGCTGGAAGGCCAGGGCGGCTCTGCGCAGACCGAAGAACATCAATGGGAAATTGAAAAGGCCGAATAGAATGGTGATGACGGTCTTCTGTATGCCTTCAGGATGGACAGGGATTTGGTTGTAGGCTCTCACCAGGTCAATTTTGGAAAAGACGGAACAGCCGAATAGCTGGTGGGAGTAGTCGTGGATACGGCGGACAGGGTAGCCGTCGGGGATTGATCGGGAGTTGAACGCTTTGTAATCGCAGCATGGACGCCAACAGTTGTTCTTCTTAGGCACGATGTGTAAGTGCCGAGGACCAGGAACTCTCAGAACGGCGAGCTGTACCATCTCGCAACATGGCGTCGAACTTGGCTTTTACGATAGCGAGCCGGTCCGATGCCAGTCGCCGTGGTCGGCAGGATACTGGTGGGCCAGGTTCAGTCCTGATGTGGTGGACGGTGTTGTGTCGTATTTCGCGCTGGACTCCGGCTGGGCGTGTCAGGTCCGGGAACTCTTTGAGGATGTTGTTGGCAGGTGTGTCGCTGATTATGGTCTTTACACTGGGGATGAGTGCGTCAGCCGCTGATGCCGGGGCTGAAAGCGTCGTGACCCCGTCGAGAATGCGGTTGTCCCTACAGTCCACCAGGAGACCGAAATGCGATAGGAAGTACGCGCCGATGATAGGATGCGTGACGTCGGCCACCACGAGCCGCCACATGAATTATCGACGTAGGCCCAAGTTGGGACTGAGAGGCAGACATCCGTATGTGTTGATCGTAGTGCCATTAGCCGAACATAGGTCATAATTGGTACATTTCATGCGTCGATGGACGAGCCTGCGGGGGTACACACAGAGGTCCAAACCCGTGTCGACCAGGAACTGCCGTTTGCTGACTCTGTCCGTTATGAAGAGACGGCCTGTCGTCGTAGCACAGAAATGTGACGCCGAAGATGTCTGCTGCGTCAGTTTCCCTGCTGGCGGTAGGAGCAGGGAGAAATACAGTTTTGCGCCCGAGCGCCGAAGCGGCGATGGTACCAGCAGGTACTGGATGTGGTGTCGTCACGGGAGAGGGATCTGCTGCCAGGCCGGTGGCTGTTGAAGGCGGGGCGGGAATCCTTTGGACTGGAGACTCTTTCTCTCGGTTTGGTGTCAAGCTCCTTGAAGCGGGCGTGGAGGCGGTCCTGTCCAGTGCTGAGTGTAGCCACTTGGCGGGAGAGGTCAGCGATCTTCTGCGGAAGTGCGCCGTTGTCCGTGGTTTGACCAACGCTATCGATCTCCGGCTGGACTTCGACCTCGGAGATGCGGTCCTCATAGAGGACTTCGGCCTCCAAGTTGTTCTCGTTCTGGCCGGCGAGGAGGCTGTGTACATTCCTGGGAAGCCGGCTGGTTCAGACGCTTCGGATGACGTTACAGACACGTCTGGTGTGAGACTCATGAGGTATCGCAGGAACTGTGATGGCTTACTGTCGCCAAATTCCTCGACCGTGAGGAGCTGCCGGATGCGCTGCTCTGGCAATTGGGATAACCGCCTCACAAGCTCGGTCCTCAATAGGGTGTA